ATAAAGCTTAATACCATAGTGCCAACATGAAATGAAGCAATGCAAAGAAGTGAAGTAATAATCATAACAACAGAAATGAACGCACTGTTTTCTCACAGAGCAATCTGTATGCAATATAGTCAGTCAGTCATCCCAGCTGGGAGGCAGCTATGAAAACAGCATCACAATGAAAAATTACAAGTCACATAGAGCTAGATGTAAATGCTCTGTGAACGTGCAAACATGGGGGAAGGAGGCTGTGAAAAACTCATCTTCACCCTGCCCAACAGCCAAGCACAATTGCTGTCCCTGTGCTCCACAAAGCACATGAAGTGCTTCTGCCCTGTGCCCCTTGAGGTGCAAGACACCCCAAGCAGGGCCCAGGCTTGCCAGTCATATGCACTGGCCAGCAAAGGTAACCCAGCATGCAGTGAGATGCATGTTTTACCCATTAAATCTCAGAAATTCTCCCAGAGTAGTGCACCTCTGCATCCCCCATCCCCACCAAAACAGGACCATATCTATAAAAACATGATTAACCCACAATTAGCACGTGTGTGTGCACGCGCACACACACAGAGTAAAAGTTTACCTCAACTTTTCCGTCTTTATCTTCAGTTAATTTGCTTCTTGTCCTATTGTTCTGTGAAATAGAAAAATTCTCTATTGAAATTGTCAACCTAATGGTATTCATAGATCATGATTATATCCCTCTGCAACACCACCTGTGGGTTCCCTGTTCCCTGATAGTATTTCCCCCCGCCCCCAACACCAACATTACACACACATACAGATCCTTTTTTCTCTCCTGATATCTTACCCTCCAAATCCTTATGCAATTGCTGTTGGGTTCTTTTACTTCTAGTTTTCCTAAACTGAATGTGATAGTTAAGACACTGAATTCATATACTAAGGCACTATGACTTCTTGGCATGAGAGTCATATACTATTATAAATACACACACACATTTTATTTACATATTACACACACCAGAGAGTTTGTCAATATGGCATTACAAATATTTACTAATTCTCTCTCTAGCTCTCTCCTTTCCTCTTAACTGCCCCACTTCTTCCCTCTAGGTATCCAACTTTACACCCACTAGAATCTCCTCTCTTTGGATGTAACCTGCATTTTGCAGTTTGACTCCTCTGTATTTGCCATTCTCCCCCCTTTCAGCGTCAACAACAAACTTGTTTGAATTTATACGGTTAATAAACAGGCATAAATGCCACTACTGACCTCTGTGGTATCCTACTTGGCAATGTTCTCTAAAAGTCAACTGAAGGGTTATCTTCATGTAACTTCCTTCTCTTTCGAAGAATCCCTCTTGAATGAAACTTGGATCAGGAAGATTTTGGATCCCAAGGCAGTAATTACTTTATTGCTTATTTCAATAGAAACTATTTCTCAGGTAAAGGAATATTTTGATTTTCCCAGGTCGGTTGGAAATAAATACACTCACCCGTGACTATAGATTTAGATCACGAGTGAAAAAACCTTCAGGGCACAGCAGCTGCTCCTCCTGATATGGCTTTTCCTGTTGTTGAGTTCTTGCCCAACCCTACCTGAAATCAATGCAAGTAAGTCTCTGTTCAGGACATAGCAACATAAAACAAACACATGCATTAAAACAAAAGTGAAGAAATTCCACTAAACTGGATGAATGGCAGCAGGGTAGGAAACATCAGGGGGAGGTGACTGCTGTTCTTTCTTTCAAATATGAATTGAAAAACATCTGTATGAAGAAGTTGAGAAGTTCCATTTAAGGGATGGGTATTCACCATACCTCATGCATAAAAATCTACCAGGCAGCTATTCCCCACTGGACAAGGTTTGGGAGCTGAAATGAAAGAAGCAGCCAGGTCCTCTGGGTGGGATTTGAGGTTGAGGTCATACAGCATTCCCACAGCACCTTACACCTGGCAAGTGGATGTGTTTTTTAGCAAATGATTCATCATTTTCCAACAAATGATTCATCATTTTCCACAGATTCCTTCACTGAAGTTCATCTGGTCCACCATATTTTAATAATGTTGAACACAGGCAAGTCCCCATGCTCGTTTCTATTAACTTGCCAATATTAATACCAAGTAGCAGTGCTCACCTTTGTGAACCTTGGGCCTGCAGGCCCAGGGTCTAGCAGGCTTTGGGCATAGAAGCTGTTTAGGGCTTTATATCAGGGCATCTGGAAGTATTTGTTTGAGGGCACAGCTCCTTCCCATCACCATGGCATTGTGGCCAGGACAAAACAGCTGGAAGCAATCTTTGAAGAAATCAAATATACTAACATGTTGAAGTGCAAATATGTATTCTTTTATGTATATAGGCACCTGCTCCCATGTCGTGCACCCTATCCGGGAGCTTTACTAGCAACTATGGCGTACCACAGAGCGCAGGATGGAGAACGTGCTGCGTGTGGATGCACTGCACAAGTTTACAGAAACCAGGATGGTTAATATGGACACATAGTACCACTGGAGGAGCAAAGAGAGCTAGACAGACTTCTAATAGTCGGACACTAGGAAAAGAATTAATTAGCCAAGTTCGCATACAGTGGGTTGGGCATCTATAGAGTGTGTTTTGAATAGATCAAAGCCAAGTCTCAGAGCAAAATCACCGACAGCTCTTTTAGAGAAGCCAAAAAAAGCCAAAGCCATAGGCACACATAACAATTATCACAGTTGTGACAGATACGTCAATTTCATAGATTCTAAGGTCAGAAGGGACCATTAGGATCATTTAGTTTGATCTCCTGTGTAACACAGGCCATAGAACTTCCCAAAAATAATTCCTAGAGCATGTATTTTAGAAAAACATCCAATCTTGATTTAAAAATGGTCAGTGATGGAGAATCCACTACAACCCCTTGGTAAATTGTTCCAGTGGTGAACTATTTTCACCATTAAAATGTACATCTTATTTCCAGTGTGAATTTGTGTAACTTCAAGTTGCAGCCACTGGATTGTGTTATACCTTTCTCTACTTGTGGCTCTTCTCTGAACCCTCTCCAGTTTATCAACATCCTTTTAGAATTGTCACTGGAACTGGGCACAGTATTCCAACAGTGCCAAAAACACAGGTAAAATAACCTCTCTACTTCTACTCAAGATTCCTCTGTTTATGCATCTCAGAATTGCGTTTGTTCTTTTGGCCTGAGTCTCACACTGGGAACTCATGTGCCGCTGATACACTGGTCTACAATTTTTGAGAAGTCGTCTGCTTCAGAGATAAAATGTGCTATTTATTATGTATTTTGATGTGCTGAATTCAAATATGACAATTAAAACAACTGATTGGCTACTGTTTCTAAGATATTTAAGTTTTTACATTTTATGTCTATGTATATTGTGTAGATAGTAAAGTTTTAATCATAAATTGTAAACCTAGGTCTTTTCATGTGTTTATGGTTGCTTTACATGATAATATTTCACCTGTCCTGTTTATGTAACACTTTAAAAATCAGCAAAAGGGTTATATAAATAAAATTTATTATGAAACAAAAGGCAAAAAACTATTCTGTACATAGTTTAGTCCTATTCAGTGTCTACTCGGCGCTTCTTGGCTTGTCTCTTGTATTTATTAAAGGGAGCATCTCTTGTCACAGTCCAGCAATAGTCTGGAAGCATTGATGGGCTCCATTTGCCCTGATAGCGTTCCTCTATTGTTGCAATGTCCTGGTGAAATTGCT